AATAAATGACCTTTTTAGAAAGTGAACGGTGGATGGGGAAATGTTGGCAGTTTTTTCAAAAAATGCTTGAATTCAAGAAGTTTTAGATTTGCGTGATTTTTGTTGAGTTGCAAAATCCACTTGAACATAACGCTACTTTTCTCGAAGTTTCTCAAGAACCCTTCGAGCCACAAAATTCGTTTTGACATCGTTGGATAGAGAATTGAATAGTCGATTCAGTCGTAACAACGTGAGTGAGGAAATTCGAGTAGTTTTGACCCAGAAAGCGAAATATGAATATCAAACACTTGGGTGCAAGATTATGCTAAAATTTCATGTTTTCCGTCCCCTTTTCGCTCATATCTCGGAGGCAAAATGAGTAAGAACGCTAATTTGTACGTCATTCTAGAGAGAAATAAATGACCTTTTTAGAAAGTGAACCGTGGATGGGGAAATGTTGGCAGTTTTTCAAAAAATGCTTGAATTCAAGAAGTTTTAGATTTGCGTGGTTTTTTTTCGAGTCGCAAAATCCGCTGCTTTTTTCGAAGTTTCTCAAGAACCATTCGAGCCACAGAATTCGTTTTGGCATCGTTGGATAGAGAATTGAAAACTCGCTTCAGTCGTAACAACGTGAGCCCCCCACCTGGATCCGCCCTTGTGCTTAGGAGCAATTGAATATTTGCCTTTTGAGCCAAAGTTTTCCCTAATCAACTGCCAAATAAACCGCACAATCTACTTACATTTTTCCGCCAATCACCATCACATTTTTCCCATAATCGCCGCAAATTCCCTAAGCAAAAGTCACTAAAACTCGCCGCAGAACCGAAGAAGTAGCGAGATGCGTCATGTGCCGGTATACATCACATAAGTGAGAGCCGATGCGCCTTTTAAGCGCCCAAGTGGGTACCCAGGTACGGTTTTTACAGCTAAACTGGTTTACATCGACTTTACCCATTCGAATTAAGCTCAATTTGCCTAAATGGCGATTATGATGCGGAACTGCAAATGCAAATGTTACTGACCGAATGCGTTGGCCTTCGAGTGCCATGGATTCTTCATTTTCCCAGACTAATTAATGCTTCCACCATTCAGCGCGAATTTCGCATCCCAAAAGCACGGTTGTTTAAACTTTCCCATCGACTTTGTCCTGAATGCGCCACTAAGCAAACTGTTGAAAAATTCTCTATTAGGTATGTACTTGGAAGCTCCAAGTTTCCTCCTCCGCGCCGCCACCAAACAAAAAACCCCATTATTTCAACCTGTTTTCGTTTATTTACAATGCTATTTATTAGAAAAACATTTATAAATTTTTATTAAACCATCAGCAGTAACAAGTATAGACCTTAAAACTATCAACATCGATTTAACTTCAGAGTCTGCCTTCTGGACTGTGAGAGGGGGGGATTGTCTACGGAAAATTGGGGTTTAAGTGGACTTTAGGACGCTAGAGTTTCGCCAATCATATCTAAGAAGCCGCAAGTAAACTGGTTCGATATTTACATGGAAAAAAGAGTGCCACTCATCGAAGAACGCCTACAACACAGACAAAAACTTAGAACAAAACGTGTAAAATTCTAGTCTTTTTTAAAGGACACATAGTCATTAACATTGCTTTTCAATTACAGGGGGAATTGTGGTTCAGAAGAACTACAGGACACTTAAATAGGGTGGTTTTTGGCAAATGCCTCAATTGAGCCGTTTGCTCAGTTTGGATAAGAGAAAGGGCTGGGTCGAAGTAGTAATTTTCCATTGAAGGACTGGCAATCCTGCAGGATAAAGAGGTTTAATCTATTGGGCTTCTGAGATTGTAATTAGGGAGCACTTCCTTTATAAGCCAGCCTTTGCAAGTGCAAGTTAAAAAGCCGCTGTTGCCTCTCGGGAACAGCGGCGTATTTAGAAAGTTTGAAAAATATTTAAAAATCTGCCACAGTTTGTACAGGTTCACACTTTCTCTATAAGGATCCGTTTCCCCAAATAGCAAATCTCAAGCCTCCACCTGCTGCCGTTTCCAACTTGTGCATTTTCTCAATGCAAACTGGCTTGATCTAACAAAAACCACCCCTTCGATACTAAAAAAATCATTATTATTGTTTGTCAATACGTGGCTAAAAATTCGGAAACTTTGTTAAGAGATTTTCTGGAAATTCCCGGCTAGTTAAAGGAAAACTATCGAATCAACGAGTCAGCGGACGCAGAAAGAGCGCTGTGTAGTTGAGACGATATTGACGGTGTGCTTGAAAGGATCCTCATGGGAATTTCTTCGATTTTCTCCAAATCTGCCGCTCCAGCTGAATTTTGCTTGCACAATCTCGGACTGGTCTGGAAAAAAATGCGAAAACGCGCGTAAATCACTTAAAGGCCGCAAAGTTTTAATTGGCTTCGGCCGCTATTTTTTAGAAACTTTCCAGAGCTTTCATGTGGGCTTTGTTCCCTATAAAATCGCCGGAAGCTTGGCAATTTAAGCCCGCATTTTTGCCAAAAGTTTAAAATGTTCCACTTACTTCTGCCGTTTTTGCCACTTCTTCGGCTCGATCCAGGCTGAATTGACGTCGCAGCAGCTTGCCAGTTCGCACTTTCGGACTGAGACATTTGTAATGGCTGTAGGGCGTGCTGATGTCTTCATCTTCCTCCTGCAACCAGCAATTTTGTTCAACTTCCATCCGAAGAATTGCAAAAATAGGGAAAAAAGCAAAAAAGTGAAGCTAATTGTGTAGACCAATCCAATCAAAAAATTATATCGAATTGCAGGTGCGTTTGCTATCAGCAAACTACTAACTGACTTG